ACATGCACCTCCAGTTTGGTAGGTGCGAAATGCAAGGAAGAAAAAAATCAGCAAATTGAAAAAAGAGGCATGGTTTACATATAACATACAAGACATTGCTTAAAGCTAGGATGATTCCAGAGGTCCCAGCACATAATTAGGATACTATGACACATCGACTCTTCTTCCATACTTCTGTTCTCTAACCAAAACTCATCCTGGAAGTCTGGCCAGGCCCAGCCAGGAAAAAAAAAAAAAAAAAGAGGTGTAGGGGGAGGGGAGGAACATTTGCCCAAAAAAGGGGAGGGAGCAGCACACAGGCTTTTTTGAATGTACTTTAAGACTACGGGGGTCCAGAACAAATTTCTCACATCTCCCTCCCCCACCACCCTGTGTTCTTATACTAAACACAACAGTAAAAGTTACCGCCAGAACTTAGATAGAAAAAGGCTGATCTGGGAACCTGGTTAACATTGTTCCTGGACAACTATTTGAATGTAGCCTCTATTCAAACCCAATTCCGACTGCCTCTAAACAGGAAGTTAACAGACATCACACACAGGGGAAGCAAACCACAGTGTCATAAAGATGGATGCTGCCGTCAGCTACAAATCACTCTCACCTCAAAAGCATTCTCAACAATAGGCAGGACAAAACTCCGTAAGCCTCACCTCTTCTCAAACTGGGTCACTCAGCCCACAGGTCCAGCCTTCTGAATCCTGCTGTTTACTTATCTATTTCATTCTTATCACTGCTACTAGACTAAAAACAGAAGACACTGCCAGATCAATACTCCCTACTACCTTATTATTCATACAACTGTTTGCTCAAGAGCCCAAGGAAAGACTATCTTTGACCCAACCCATCCCAAAAGTCAGAGACTGGATATCAGTCACAAAAAAAGCAGCACCATTTCCAACAGGTGTGGGCCTTCCCTCAAAATGTACTGAGTGCCTCCACAGTACCACCTTTAGCAGCTCCAGATAGCCTCTCTCCCTACCAGGTATCAACGAAAACGCTCCTCTAGGACAATGCACTATCGAGACTGCTCCAGCACCAAAACTATGAATCCAAGTGGTTGTCAGACTTCTAGGAAGAGTCAATGTATCGCAGAAAGAGCAACAGAGTTAACACTAAACTCTCGAATAGATTAATCTCCAACATATAGAAAACGTACAGCCACCAAGCTGCTGCCGGAAAACAAGCAGAAGTCATCTGCACTGCTAGTGGACAGACGTGAAAGGGAAGATTTCATTTTGTATCACATGCATGGTCTATTCAGAAAATAAATTTTGACAAAGAAAAATGTTTCAAAACTCAGAAGCATCAGTTCTTCTCCAACACAGGTCTATGAAATCTGCTTTTATTCCAGCTGCTGCAAGTCCAAGCCTCTGCTGCAGTCTGGCCTGAAAGCTGCTCTTCTGCTTTGCCGAAATTAATTTAAGTATCGCCCCGCTCTCTTACACGCACACAAAAGGCCTTCAAAGAATCACTTATCAGAAAACTGGTTCTTGGGAGGCTACCTGATTCTCAGGATGACAGTAGAAAAAAATGGTTGCTAGTTAGCCACCCACCCACCATCCACGCCTCCACCTCCACCTCAGCGCCAGCCCTACGCGCTAACATCTTGTGTCTGGAGGGAAGTTGATGCTGGGGGAGAGTCCGGAGGGGCTCCCATACCTTTCGGAGGTGGGAAGCTGTCCCGGGCCGGGGAACGGCACCCACACCTCTGCACTCACAGGAGTGGCTACCTCCGTAGCGTCACTGAGAGCAGGCGAGCAAAAAGTACTCTAAGTCCCGGTGTGGTTAGGGAAGGGTGAGTTCCAGTTCCATCGACCCTCGGGCTCTTAACTGGGATAAAGATCCGGTGTGTCCCAGAAGCCCAGCGGGGAGAAGGGTGGTGGAGTCGCTACAGAAGGACCCACACAGACTGAGACAGTCCCCTTCGCCTACGGGAGGGCACGGGAGCGGGGGACGACGAAATAAAGGGGTCGGGTTCTGCGCTCCTGATCCCTTTACCTAAATCGAGATAATTATCCCGTGCTTCCTTCATCCTCAGGATCCCCCATTTGTCCCAACCGCCGCCACACACAAGACGGAAAGCAGGGAGCGGCCCCCGCACCCCGAGGGCACCACTGGGGGTGGAGAGAGTTAAAGGGGGGGGCGCGCTCGAGAGGGAAGGAGGGGAGCATGGCGGGCATGAGGCAGTGAGTGAAAGCGGGGATGGCGGGGGAAACGGGGCGCGAGGGAGGGGAGAAAGAGTAAAAGCAGAAGGAATGAAGGGACCCGAGCTGCGGGCGCGCGAGG